ATTTATTTTTTATAATTCTTTTAATAAAAATCTAAATTAATTTTTTCTCATCTTCTTCATATTTAATTTTTTCAATCATTGTCTTCTCTCTCTCTCGTCCGGTGCCGCTCCTTGCCGATTGCCTGCTCCTCTGCTCAGCTGCCGCTCTCGCTCTCGCGCGCTCCCTGCTGCTCTTGCTCCGCTCCTGCGTCTGTCCTCGTGCCGCGTCCGTTGCTGTCCTGCGCCGCGTCCGCTGCTGTCCTGCGCCGCTTTCACACATGCTGCCGCTCACGTTTTCTCACGGTAATCTCTTTTTCATTTTGAATGTTACCCTGTGATTTGAGTTTTGGGAGGTTTGATTTTATTCAATATGTGTTTAAGTTTCATCCATAGTTAATTGTCTATAGCCTAATAGTTTTAAGTTTGTTGTGTATTATTTTTAGAGTGAACTCTGTTCTGTTGAGTAAGTAGCACTATTACGTATACCATGTTACAACAAATGCAGATTGATCCAAATAAAAGAAAATGTTATAGATGTAAAAAACAATGGTTAATTTTTGTGTGTTATTATATATTTATGGTGTGTCCTTGGAACCTGGTTGGGTTAGGAAATTATGATAGCATAAGCAGATGCATAGTCTATATAGGAGATTTGGAGGATCATAAGAGCACGTCTAGTTATGTGTTTTCTTTGAGTGGTGAAGTTGTAGCCTGAAGTTCCAAAAAGCAACCAATGGTTACATTGTCAACCATAGAAGCAAAATATATAACAACTTATTGTGCAACTCAAGACATCTGGTTAAGATAAATTTTTGACAAAATTAGTCAGACTAAAGGCATATATGTTACAATTTATTGTGACAGTTCCACCATCAAACTCTCAAAGAATCCTATCTTTCATGGGTAAAGTAAGTATATTGACATTTGATTCCATTTCTTATGCTATCTCAACAATGATGGCAAAGTGAAACTAATACACTATAATTCTTTTGATCAAGTGTCAGACATAATGACCAAACCACTCAAACTTGATGCATTTGTGAGATTGAGGGAGCTTCTAGGAGTTTGCAAGGTTTCAAACTTAAATTGATTGTACCATAATCAGATTTAGGGAAGGATATGTTAGGATAATCAATTTTATTTGTTGTTAATACAATCCTGAATATCAGGAACTTGGTTACAGTTAGTGCCTCCACGTTTCTAGGCTTGTTAGACGTGAATATTTATTTGTTTTGTTTAGTTGTAAAAGGCTTATATAAACTCACTATGTTAATAAAGCAATTTTCCCTACAAGTTAGTACAGAGTAGTTTGGTACCCAAAAAAGATTCTTCAATATAGTCAAAATTTTTTGTAAGAGTTCATAAGATCTTCTCAATGATCTTACCATCTATTATATATTCTCCACAGTTTTGCATGTCAATGACTACCACCATGCCATGTGCAAAATAGTTGGTGACCGTCTCTCCCACCTACATCTCCAAAGAGATCAAAGGTTCTATGAAGCCTATGAAGTTGAGCATGTTGCACCTTAACATTCCCTTGATATTTGACCTTTATTGAATCCCACAACTATTTGGAAGTCTCATTTTGAGTAATGGTTTTCAGGACTATTCAATAGCTTGAAAAAGGTAGTTTTTGGCCTTCAAATCTTTCAACTTCATCTTCTTTAATGCTTTCTCTTACACTGCTGACAAAGTCTAGAGTTTTTGCGATTCTTCAAATTTGTATTCAATCACGTTTCAATACTCCTTAGAGCATAGAAAATTCTCTAAAAGGAGATTCCAATGATCATAATTTCCATCAAATTTTGGAATGGAGGTTTATACGAAGTTATTTGCTTTGGTTGCCACACTCTCATGTTTGGGTTTTCAATCATGCTCTCTATTTGTGATTTCACACTATTTAGCACTTTATCAGGATTCTTTTGAAACTTTGATACCGACTTTATTAGGTATCAAACTACTACATACAAATTATCTATTTATGGTTTCACACTATTTTGCACTTTATCAGGCGTCTTTCGAAACTTTGATACCAGCTTTGTTAGGTGTCAAACTACTGCATACAAACTTGTAGTGAAAAAAAAATTACACTAACATAGTGAACTTATATTTTTAGAAATTGTGAGATACCTAACTCAACCTTACAAAACTGGTTTAGTAAGGTGAAGATTATACTCATCCTATATACTATAATATTAGTATATCTCTAATCAATGTGAGATTTCTTAATACATCCCCTCATATTGACAAGAATTTATTTATCACACCCCTCACATCGAAGAAGATTTTTCATCACACCCTCTCACATCAAGGATGAGTGATCTAATATTGGTATGATATCGGGTGGTTAAGTTTATTATTTGGTGGTTAAATACATCACTATTAATGGTTATTGTCCCAACATTATTAAAATTAACGTTAATATCATTTTAGAAATGGTAAAATACCTAACTTAATCTTATAAAACAGATTTAATAAGGTGAGGATTGTAATTATTTATATACTATAATATAATCATATCTTTAGTAAATATTGGGATTTCTCAACATATCTAAGCCTTTTAGAACGAAATGAAACAAATAAATATCCACGTCTAACAAACTTAAAAATGTGAAGATACTAGCTATAACCAAGTCTCAAATATTCAAGACTTTATTAACAACAAATAAAATTAACTAAATAAATAAAAAAAAGTTTATCATCCCAATATCATTTTATTTCTTTACGGTATCAAATCTCCTAATTATTAATAAAATTTATCATTCTATGTATTTTTATATTTCCTAAAATATTTTCCAATTTTTTTAGCTTTTATTCCAATTAAAAACCTTTGTGACGAGACTTTTAGTCGGTGCACTTTATTAAATGTCTTTTCCTCGTACTATAAGATTAATCTTATAAGATTAGTTGGATAATTCTATTTTTTTTCAATAATCTTATCAATTATTATCTAATATCTTGAAGTATTATCATGGTTCAAGGTTATAAATATCAATTGATCGTTATTAAATAATTACTAAAATTATGTTTTGACCGAGTTTATGATTAATGATTATTATCACTTTTTGGTGACCATTATATTAAATAGTTACTAAAATTTTATTTTCACCAAATTTATGGTCAATGATTATAATCGCTTCTTGGTTGAGTCATAATATTGATCTCACCTCTAATACATCCTAAGAATTATAATGTCAAAATAATTAAACCTGTATTATAAATTGAAAGAAAGAAAATACGAAGAAAAATAAATAAAAAAATAAAAATAATAATTGGTTTATTGAAAAAAATATTTGATAAATTTTTTAAAAAGTTATTAAATAAATTAATAAAATTAAATAATTATTCTATTATAAAAATTATCTATATATTTATTTTGAAAAATGAGAGAAAAATAATTTTAAAAAGTTATTTTTATATTTTTTCTTGTATATGAATAAAAATAAAATATATGAAAGTCAAAACAAAAGTAATATATTTTCTAATTTTTTTATATTTTTTCTACTTACTTTTTTTAAAATTAAAATCACCTTTCACTGTACAATTTTTTTAACGAATATTAACATAATCCTGTTAATAAAATCAGCAACCACTCCCACGGTCACTTCACAAAGGATTGGGACAATATCGGTGAGAATATTGACAACAAATCAGAAGCAGCAAGAATAGATGCTGCCGTCCAAGAATCGTGGTGACGGGTGAGAAGGGGATTTGAGAAAAAAGAATCCACTTTTCATAGATTTTACATCAATGAATTTTTAAGAAATTAAGTTTGATTTCATGTAAAATATTGAATTTTATGAGGTTGTTTCTTCCTGTATTTATATTTTTTTTTCTCCATTCTTATATTTATTAAAATAATAATATTACTGTTAATATAAATATATTTCAAAGAATTTATTCTAAAAATAAGTTTTGAATTATATTTTTTTAAAAAAATATTTTTGGATTATATGTTTAAAAATTGATTTAATTTCTTTTAAAAAAATTCTAAAAACTAAAATTCAAAACTTTGATAGTATGCTTTCCAGAACGCTTTTTAAATTGTATTCTTCGGATTTAATAATATAGATTTATTTTCAAAAATACAATTCAATAATATGTTTTCGATTAACCTATTCGAAACTTATTTTTGAATTATATTTTTTAAAATATATTTTGAATTTAATAATTAAAAATATCACAAATATGAATTAAATATATTTTTTTATGAGATTTTTTTGATATATAGTATATTATATATTTAAAGCATACATCACTAATAAATTTCTAACATTAAAGTGAAAGTAATGTTTCAATGAAAAGGTAGATACTAATGTAAAGGTGTGCCATGGAATAACAACACTCACATGAAGAATTTATATTATGAGGTAAAAAAAAGTATTAAAATTGTAAAATAAAAAAAACTTTTTTTTATAAACATGTATACTTCGAAGAATGAAAACAAATATTACATGCCCATTATTTACAATAAAGAAAATTATTATAAATATTTTTTTTAATAATATATTTTCATCACTAATTTAAAATTTATTGAAAATTGCACATTATTATAAAATATATAATAAATAATTAATAATAAAACATCTGTAAAGAAACTTATAAAATGTATGTTTTAAAATGAATATATTAGAAAATTAGAAAGTAGGTGAGTGTTAATACTATACTCTTTCATTTATAAAGAACAACATTTTTTGAATGTGTCGTCATGTCCATCATAACAGAGGGCTCAGAGGTCACACGGGGTGAGTCCAGAACAACTCTACAGACATGAGAGGTCCCTTCGAACTGTCGCAGCTTTCATGGGTCCTTCAATTCTTCAATGAATCAAATTTTGTCATGTAACTGTTTACTCTCCAAAGTCACTGAAGATTTAGTTCACTCTTTACCCTCTTCTTCGAAAGATTTAAGAAAGAGAAAATAGTTCCAAAAAAATTTAAAGAAAACCCAAAATTTCAGTGCTGTCTCTTGCTCCTCGTCCTCAGAATTTCCACCCTAGCATTAACGGTCTCACTCTCATGCTTCGGTTTCTCTCAAGTGGGTCAAATATTTTTCAGTCTTTTCCACACTCAGCAATTATAAAAGCCCTGCGAGTGTTCACTTCCGCCACGTGTTCGACCATTTGCCTCACCCAAACCAAGGTTGAAGTTGAAGATGATAAAAGCAAATGGAGTGATGCTACTGAACTTTTGAGCAAATGGGGTTGCACTGATGATGATTTGGTGAGAATATTCTCGCGCTGCCCCTCGCTGCGTAATGCTGATCCCACGCTGGTTCAATCCAAACTGTCCCTTCTTACTGATTTGGGCTTGCGTGCTTCTCAACTTGTGAAGATTGTCAATTGTAGACCACGGTTTTTCCGGTCTCGGATTAACTCTAGTTTAGAAGAGAGGGTTGAACATCTTACATCATTGTTTGAGTCCAAGGAAGTGCTTCAGAAGGCCATTGTGAGAAACCCTTCACTGCTGCTATCGGAAGGTCGCTATAATGTTAAGGCCACAGTTGAGCTCTACGAGAAGTTGGGTGTTAAGAAAGGGGACTTGATTCAGATGCTGCTTTTGCGACCCACGGTTATTTCTAGGACTTCCTTTGACGCTGAGAAGCTGGAATATTTAAGCAAGATTGGGCTTACTATGGATTCAAAAATGTATAAATATGTGGTGACATTAATTGGAATCTCTCGCGTGGAAACGATCCGGGAGAAGGTGGCAAATTTAGCAAAGTTTGGGCTTTCTGAAGAGGAGATATTTGGTCTTGTGGGGAAGTCTCCTAATGTTTTGACATTGTCGACAGATAAGGTTCAGAGGAACATGACTTTCATTTTGGGCACGATGAAGCTTGACGCCAAATTGGTTCTAAAGCAGCCGTATCTCTTGTATGCCAATGTGGATACTGTTTTGAAGCCAAGAGTGCGTCTAGCATTGAAGATGCAAGATATGGTGGATTCGAAGTGGCAAATCATGGGACCAACAATAGTAAGTTTTCTTAGGATGTCAGAGAAGAGATTTTTGGACTTGTTTGTAAAATGCCATGGCGAGGATGTTGCCAATGAATTGATGGAATTCTATAAAAGGACAAAAGAGGTTAAGAGATTGGGAGTGTCATCAAAGAAGTGCAGTAGTAAGAGAGGATTCCCTTTCTGAAATCTGAACTACTTTTATATGCTATGAAGTAATTTTGGAGCTGAGATCCATATCCATTTTTGGGTTATCTTGTTATTGGAAGTGGCTTTTGTGACATTTACTATGCTTATTTCTGTCTCTTTGATTTTTAATGAATATTTTTCCTATATAGTACAGTTCTATAATACAGGGGAGCAGCTAAGCTTCTAAATCAAGAAATAAAGTACGCAGTTCATTCGGGTAGAATATGTTCTAAAGAGTAACTTTATAGATATATTATTGATCCTGACTGCCCTCGTTTTTCATTAGGTTTTGGAATCTACATATATAATGACAACCATTCCTTGGCCTGACCAGGCCTTGGACCTAAACAATATTGCTGATGTTTAGTTTAGTACTTCAGATTAATTTTCACATAAAAATAGCTTTCCCAGCTAAAATCTCACTTTGTGACCTTTTTATTACAATCTATAAACTTTTTTTTTTACCTTAAAATAAATTTATTGATACATTAAAATTTCCAGAGAATTGGCACTCAATCCTTGACAAATGCCATTAAAAAGATCTTGAGGAAAATAACATTGCAGGGAAACGATTCTGTTTTCTCAAGATGCTTCTTGTCATCTGAGACTTTTCTTTTCCCATTTTATTACTACTTTAACTGAAAACCATATATTGCTTCAATCATCTCTCTTAATTTAGCTAAGATAAAACAATTATCTGGTTAGTCGATCAAATTATCTTAGAATCTAACCCACAATAGTTCACCGGTGAGGCCAAAAGTTGGTATATCTTTGTTATTATAAAATTAGGAAGGAGCTTCTGAAGTTATAGTGATGAATGCCAAATATTTTAGTCAGAGGTGCTAAGGTAGCATATGGGAAAATTTTCTTGCTCAGTTGCTCAAGTCGAATGAGAACCTTGTATTACTGAGCTTGTTGTTCTTTATACTTCTTGAGTAACACTTAGAAGTTGATTAATTAATTATACCTGTTTTACTCGGACATCTATCTTCATCTTTATAAGTACTTATTTTATGATTTTTAAGGTTTTGAATGTTTTATTTTTAATTCTTACTAAATTATTTTCATTTTTTCTTTTCTTATTATTTCAAGAATTGTAAGAAACTGGTGAGAATCTCTAAGTATTTTTAATTTGTATTAATTTTTTACAACATATAATATTTGCACAACAAGATTTTTGACTGGAAGATTAGGAATAAAGTTTCAAATATTTTTGTATGGAAACATGTTCTAAACAGTAGGATATGAAATATATTTTTAGATTGATTTTTAAAAAATGTATAGAATTGATTTTTCAAAAATGTATTTTGAATAGGTGGGTCTGCAATACACTTTTAGGATAGCATATTTTGAAAGTATATTTCAGATTCACTAATTTGGAATACATTTCCAGAAAATTAATTCTAGAAATATATTCTAGAATCTATTTTTTATTTTTGGAATTTTTTTTTAAAATATATTTTTAAATTGACTTTTTCAGAAACACATTTTTAAATATACAAATTAGAATATATTTTCGGATCAACTTTTCAAAAATTACATTTCAGAATATATTTCAAAATAAATATTTTAGAATACGTTTCTGACAATCAATTTGAAAATACATTTCAAATTAAGTATTTCGTAACTAAATATGGATTTTGTAAAATTGTTCAATTTGGATTTCAATATGCAATTTTAGTGAAAGAATATGTAATAGATACGTAATATTAATTACTCACCTTTAACCTTTTAAGTGTTAAAAATGATCTTTAGATAATACAATAAATTAAATATGCAAATGTACGAAAATGCAGAATTTTTACAGGAAAATAGAAGAATAGATTAGGATGTGGAACAAAATTTATTAAAATAATATTTTAGTTATTTTAGTTTGAGTATGAAAATATAGGGAGAAATTATGAATGTGCACGAAGAAGATGCCTTGGTTTTACTGAATAACTTATTTTACGATGAATTCCAAAATGCGCAGAACAACATTCCCTTCCCTTGTGACTTGTTTGGATTATAAATTAAGCGTAATTACAGAAGCAGATCAGCTAACCTAAAATTTATGCGTTGGATATTTAAATTAGGTTATTTATATCATTATATAAAAAGATAATTTTTAATTATTTTAGTATCATCTTTGTTAAAATTATTTTATCCTTTATCAAATAAAAATAATTAGTTATTAAATAAATATAAATTAATAATCATTTAAGTAATTATCTATTTTATTTAATATAATCACTTAATTTTTTATCAAATAAAAGTAATAAATATATAAAATCAAATTAATGTAGACATTAAATTTTAATTTGTTAAATTCAATAACATAATAAAAATAGAAAAATGATGAATAATAATAATAATAGTAATAGTATTTTGATTATTATTGTTATACATAAAAACACAGAGAATTAGCATGAATAACCAAAAATAATATTAAAATGTGTTGCCTTCAATTCAAATAATGGGACGTGGCTCTAAAAATAAAGAACATATGTTACGTTGAACCAAACACAGAATAGAAAACAAAGCAAAACACATTTAAGAAAATACGAAAGCGATTGTGTTTATTGCTTGGTACATATTAATAATGTAAAAGAAGGGAAAAAAATTCACAAACATCAGAACTAAAGGAATTACGATAAATAAGGACATCCAAGAAAGCATAATGTGAAGAGGGAGAAACAGGGTAAAATAAATATGAATTTCTTAACTATAAACTACTACTCTGCAGAAACAGAGATACAATTGAAAGAAATGCATAGTAATCAAAAGACACTAACGATTTAATTCCATAACTCAAGGGATCCTTTTCTGTTCTTAAAGAAGAGCAATAACTTACTTGAAGTCACACATCAAACTTTTTTTTTATGAATTTATGGAGGGTATTTTTCTTTGATTCACCATATATCAGATAGACAGCTGTGTTCTTGACCACCAATCCATGAGCAAGAGTCACAAAAATCTCCACCTTGTCCCCAGATTTTAAATTTGATATTATGCCCTCCCAGTCTATATCGTTAAAGGAAATTGTTGTGCCATGCTTGTGTATGTGGAATGTGCACTTTGTGTAGTTAACAATTAAGACACTTGCAAGACATTCAGTTGCCATATTCTCAGGGGTTGATAAATAAACAACACACAAAACCATTCCCTTCAAGTCACAGTCCTTAGGCACAGTGAAATGAACTGAATGTCGCCCACCCACATGGGCCAACCAATGAGGATGGTTGTCACCTGGAAGACAAACATAAGAAGATTCACTCCTTGCCAATCCCTGTCCCATGAGATAAAAGGCTTAGTCATGTATGCAATTTTGCTACTCAATTGATCACCTTCAATCATCATTTTATTATTCCATATTATAAAATGATCATTTTTAATCAAATTACAATGTATTCCAAAAAACAAAAAGGGTTTTGTGATCAAATTAAAATGTAATATACTTCTGAACTTTAACCAAATTGTTAATAGTTTTGTTGTGCATATATCAATAGCAGATCATCAGCTTTAGAATGCATTTCTGTCCAAGTGCTACGCATTTTATAATCGATGGTTATTTTGCTCTATAAATGTGACGATAAGCATTTTCGATAAACCTGTAAAATGGGTCATAAAAACGTCATAAAATAAAGAATGCACTAAAATAATCTAAAAGTAATTGAAATTGGTAACCGCCATTTGTAAAGATGGTGAAAGAAGCCTATAAATACAGTAAGGCAAAACGTAGTCCGTGAAGAGAAGCAGTAGCCTTCATTCTAGCACAAGAGTTGTTTCATTAAATCAATATAATTTCTACACTTTTCTATAAAACTTTCTGCATGTCAGTCTTCTAATATTTCTCATCTATTCAACATTTCTCCTGACAGAATCTAACAACCATGAATCAATTGTACCATGATCATTTGACTTGTTGATCAATAAAATCAGGTACTTTTATATGAAGCAATGCAACTATAAAAGCGATAGGTGCAAAATGGGAGTATTGTAAATTCTTTTAGATACTTTATTAGGATCGTTAATTTCATGCTCTTAATAGCTAAAATGAACGGTGAAGGTAAGTACACAAAGGTAAAAGTTAGAGAAGGAACCTCAGATATACTCTCGCTGAGAGTGTTGAAGAATTCATTGTAACATCCAACACCGATCAAAGAAAACCTCAATAGATGGTTTGAAATCCTTAACTCCGTAAAATGTACACCGTATTCAACAAGAATTGCTTTTACTTGCTTAGATAGTTGAAACTCCGTGTCGCATTGAACCAAAACACTTCGAAGATTGGCAAGGCTGCTCAGCATTGGCTTAAGGTCACCCCAATTATTATTGTCCAAATCCATGCAACACGGACGAATATAAGATAAGTGATTCATTGTTGGTGAGATCCAAGACCGAATGATAGAAGGATAAATATTGTGTGACAATCCTTCAAATCCACGTAGGGATACATATCCAATGCATTTTGAGCTTACAATTGAAAAGGGCACTTGTTTCACTGCTTTATATTCAGTAATTAGTGTTATCAAGGATTCCATCTGCGCTACATCTTCTTCCAAAATGTCAATCTTTAAACAACCAGACAGGATGAGAGTTTTTAAAGATTTCAACTTATATACCTCTTTGGGGAGATTGCTAAGACTTGTACAGTCCTTCAAATTTATCAGTAGAAGATTGCAGAGATCTCCTATGGATTGGTGTACCTTGCTCAAACTTGGACAATCTTTGAGAATGAGCTTTTTAAGACTTGGTAGTCCTGAAAAGTCCGGTGTTTCCGTCAAGTACTTGGAGTGACTTAGATTGAGAAATTTTAGCCACCCTAACACCTACAATAAGTTTTTTTGTTTAAATAAAAGAAAATTAGAGAAGAAAAAAAAATGCAATAGGTATAACTGAAATCAATTACAGAATTTCTACTTTAATTAACCGATGAGTTCGTTCAATAGACTAGCGCGTGTAGTTGTAATGATTACCACAGTTCCATCACCACACCATTTACGATTTTCACATAAAAATTTCAATCGCTGAAATTGATTCGCACCATCAAGTACAATGAGCATCCTTCTTCCTGAAAGTCTTTTCTGAATCATACTTGCACCGATCTCTCTGCTCTTTATCTCGACCTTTGTTTTTAGGACATCTGAAAGAAGTTGTTTTTCGAACTGAAAATGCCCTCTTCCACAAATTTCTTCAACATCTTCAATGAAACTTTTATACATGAACGTACTATGAATTTGGTTGTAGACGGCTTTGACAATGGTGGTTTTACCCACTCCTTCCATTCCCCATATCCCTATGATACTGACATTGTTATTTTTAATATATCGAATCAAGTTTTCCGCATGGTATTGTAATCCAACTGGAAATTTAGTAGCAGCCAAGACTGGTAAATTAAGAACGCTCTTAACAATTTTCTCCACTAGTCCAGCATCACTCCTTCAAGTTCAATAGAAATTATGGAACAAGTCATGTATTACCAAGATTAAATCACAAGCTTAAAATAAGATTCATTGAGTGAGTGATTTACCTGTAATTGCTCTCATCCCACCCAAACAAATTTGCTGCTTTGGTGAGTGCGCGGCTCCACCTGGACAAGGCATCTTCCACTTGTTGTCCTGAAAATGTTTGTTGTGCAGTTGCTTTCAAGGCTTTTCCAAAATTACCCTTCTGAAGACGTACATCAGATGGATGAATTTCGTAATATACGGGCAGAACATGTCGGCAATAAATTTCCTGCCATTTGATGATTTCTTGAAGCTCATGGAGACACCAAGCAGATTCAGCGTAGGTTTTAGTGAAAACAACTATTGCTACCCGACACAATTCTTTTGGTTGTGTTAGATCTTGGAGCTGCATGGCTTTGACTATATTCTCCTCGTGAAAGAAAGTGGTGAGCCCAGCAGTTGAGAGGGCAGAATCGAGATGAGAAACGAACTTCCTACGGATGTCTTCTCCTGTAAAGTTGATGAGCACATCATATGAAGCAGGCGTGAATTCCATCAAGGAACTGAGGAAGTGTTCAATTGTTAAAAGGGAAACCAATAATGCAAAATAAAGATAGATGCTCTATCTAAAGTGCCATTACCTTCTAGTGCTTGTTACTGCCAGTTAAAATTAATAACAAGTTAATTAGAATTTATTGGAATGTTTTGTCACTATTGAACGTTTTTTAAACTCATGATATTTTGAGTGGTTATTGTTTTAATTCTTAATTATGATTAGAAGGTTTGGCACAAGTTAAATAGCCCATTGTATTTGTCATTTGATACATGACAAAAAATCAATAATATTCAATTTTCAAAAATTATTTGTTATCAAATTAGTATCAGAGTTCCGAAGAGCTCAAGTTGCTTTTTGAGTATCAGAAAAATGAGAATGAATAGTTTGACGAATGCTGCTATAGTTGTGTCCCAATTAACGAAAGACGTCAATTAGATAGATGAAGTGCCTAGATGAAAGCTTTCCTCACTGCCCAAGATTATTGGGATACAATAGAGGACGACCATGAAGAACCAGAGACCACAGAAGGGTTGTCATCCAACGACCTCAAAACGTTTAAAGAGAAACAATAGAAGAATAGTGCAACTCTGTTTTTGTTGTTTCGAGCTGTAGAAGATTCTGATTTTGAGAAGATTGTAGGAATTACGTCGACATCCGATGTGTGGAACAAGTTGGAGAAGGAGCACAAGAAAGATGAATGAATCACACAAATTTGATGATAGACACTGCATAGCGAGATAGAGAGTATGAGAATGAAGGAGTTGAAAAAAGTTTCTGAATACATCTTGTGTGTTAAAAACATGGCGAAATAACTTAATTAGAACAGAGAAGTGTTTTGAACAGAACAAATCATTGAAAAGGTCTTGAGGTCATTAACAGATGACTTTGAGAACGTAGTGTACGCGATAGAGCAAGCAAAAGACTAGTTCGAGCTTACAATAAAAAAGTTAATTGGTTCCTTTGAAGCCTATGAACACCGAATAAAGAAAAAGGAGGAGGAGATGACTGTGAAATTACTCTAGACCAAGGAGAAGGAGCTCTATTCTCAGAAGAATAGAGGAAGAGGACGAGGTCATGGTGGTTAGACTCGAAGTGGCCGATCTGGACGATTTGGTCGAGGTGGATGATCTTGACGATCTGGTTGAGGTGACAGAGGTGACGAGAAGAAAGAAGGAGGTCGGTCGACAAACCACTTAAATGTCGAATGTTTTAAGTGTGACAAATATGACCATTATGCGAAGGAATACCATTTAGAAAAATGCTTTAACTATGAAAAGGAGGGTCATTTTGCCAAAGAATGCTAGAAGATGAGTAAGACCTATCTTACAAAAGGGCAAGAAGAACCAAAGCTCATGATGGCCTATTTGCATTCGGTCATTCACTTAGGAGCTGATTACAGTAATGGAGTTCGGGAAGATATCGATCACAAGTTGGTATGATATTTGGATACAAGGACAAGTAATCACATGTGTGGTGATGAATGTATTTTCAAAGAGTTAAAGAAGACGAATACTGGTACTGTTTTGTTTGGAGATACTTTGAGAATCCCAATAAAAGGCTGAGATACAGTCGACTATTAATAGAGGAATGGGTTGCTTAGGACGATCCAAGATGTGTATTTTGTTCATGATCTCAAAAGTATCATTTTGAGTGTGGAACAATTGATGGAGAAAATGGTACATGATTTTCGTGAAAGACCGAGTGCTCCAATTGAGGGGCAAAATTGGAAGACTAATTGCTCGGGTTGAGATGAATAATAATAGGATGTATAAGTTGCAGTTGAAAGGTATTTGAGAGAACTGTTTGAAGCTTGACTTGGAGGACACAATGTTGATTTGACATCATCGATCTGGCCACTTGAGTTTTGGTAGGTTTGCTGAGTTGTTGAATAAAAGTATGGTGCTCCAATTGCCAAGTTTGGAGAATGGGAAAAGAAGATTGTGTTCTCGAAAAATTGGCGAGGACTCCTTTTTTGAGAAGTGTAGAATACCGAGCAAGTAAACAACTTGAGCTAATTCATACCGATCTATGTGGACCGATTACCCCTGAATCATTCAGTGGTAAGAAATATTTCATGACATTTTTTGTGACTTATCTAGAAAGACATGGTGTACTTGCTGAAAAAGAAATTTGAAGTGTTTAAAAAGTTTAAGATGATTGTTGAGAATATGACCAGGTGGAATATTCGATCAGTCCAATTTGATAGAAGAGAAGAATTTATGTTAGGTGCTCTCACGAAGTATTGTGAAGATGAAGGAATAAGAAGAATCCTAACAGCCCCGTACTCACCAAAACAAATGGTGTGGCTGAGAGAAAGAACCGAATGATTCTTGACATGGTTCAAGCTATGTTGAAGTCTAAAAGTATGCCAAAAGTGTTTTGGACAGAGCAGTACAGTGCGCTATCTACGTGCATACTACGTGTCCATATGCAAAGCTAGACTTGTAACACCACAAGAGGCATGGAGCATTCAGAAATCGACTGTGTCTCATCTCAAAGTGTTTAGATGTTCGGCCTATTGAGTATTTTTGTCTCAGAATCAGACTAAGCTTGAAGACAAGGATACGAAGTATGTGTTCATCGGTTATGATGAAACATAAAAAACTTCTAGGTTGTTGGATTCGATAAGCAAAAAGAGTTATGAGTCAGGATGTTCGATTTGATGAAGTAAGTAAGTGGAACTTGGGAGAATCAAAAGGAGTCTGAGCTTCTACCCCACCTGTAGTAGCTAGTTCAGAAGAAGACCGAGTTGCTGCTCCATCTGCACCACTAGTTGTTGACAACACAAAAGGTGAGGAGGAGCATGAACCATGATCCAAAATACGAAACGAGACTTATATGATTTGACTGATGAGGTTCATATTATTTGTCTTTTGGCAGATTCCGAGAACATCACATTTGAGGAGGCTATGCGCGATGATAAATGACGAGCTGCCATGGATGATGAGATTCAAGATCGGAATGACACTTGGGTGATGACTAAGCTACCGAGCTATGTTCGGCCTATTGACGTAAAGTGGGTGTTCAAGAATAAACTCAATGCGCAACGAGAGGTAGAGAGGTAAAAGTTCGGTTAGTTACAAAAAGATACAAGCAAAAGGAAGTGTAGACCCCAAATCTTGCCCGGCCTCATAATAAAGCCCAGAAGACCACCTATTTGAAGATGGACGAAGCCTAAGAAGCCACTAGGAAAGACTATTAGGCCCCATACTAGGATAGGAAAGATTTTCTACATTAAAATAAGGACTTTCGCCTTCAGGGATCGAGACCGCCGTCTTGCTGTTTGAGACCGTTGTCTCGCCATTCCTGCAAGTCGAGACCGCCGTCTCGTTTGGCGAGACGGACGTCTCGCCACCTGCGAATGGCGAGACCCCCTTTTCGTTTAGCGAGACGGCCTTCTCGCCATTTTTGCAAGGCAAGACGGTCGCCCCGAATGGCGAGACGACCGTCTCGACCTTGTCAGACGAGACGGCCGTCTCGGCCTGACAGGCGCGAATCCCTATAAATAGCGAGCGCTCCCCCCTCATTTCACACCGTTCTTCCACTTTCTCTCTTGCAACCTCTTCAAATTCTCTTCCTAGAACCCCTCCAAAGCATTTTTTGGAGTTTCTGAGAGTTTCCTAGAGTTTTTATAGTGTTTCCGAGAGATTTTCGGCGTTGTAAAGAGCAAAGGGCTGCCAAAAAGCACCCTAATTTTCAAAAAATATTAATACAAAGCTTGCTTTGGAGGTTTCTTCATTCTCCCTTTCTCTTACTGCTTTATTTCTATGATTAAATTGCATGATAGATATTAGGGCCATGTAGTCGTTATTTCAATTCCGTTAATAAAAGGGTAAAAGCGTCTTTTCACATAGTTTATTTATTAAATAGCTGGCCTATTATAGGGAACCCGAAAGGGGCGTCGTAAGGGAACTAACACTTCCCTTACACGTAACTAACTCCCTTACCTAACTCTGGTTTTAACGACCAAAGTTGGTTTTCGAAAACCAATGCCTTTTTACTCCTTTTTCGATGTTTCCGGTAAAAACATCGGTGGCGACTCCATAAGAACCCTTCAAAATTAGTTCTTGGGTTAGCCCGGTTATCGGACAATCCAAGAACACTCTTTCGAAAACCTCGCCCCTAGGTTCAGCCCGGTTATCGGACAACCTAAAGGCGTTGTAACCACACCCATAAAAACGCGAAAATTAGAAAGTTAGAACCATCGCGTCGCTCCGACCATCTCGTTTTGACGGCGACGACAGATGGCGACTCCACTGGGGAAGCCTAGAGAGTTGATCCCATTTAGTGATGGGCCAGCTTAAATAAATAAACCAAGAAATTACACTTTTACCCTACCTTGTATTATAACATGTTTTAATGCTTGGCTTTAATAACTATTGTTTGTTTATTTTACGTAATTATTTGAAATACAAACTGCACACAAACCCTTGCACACAATAGTTCCCTCTATACCCAGGGGCAAGTGAGAAATCCATAGGGAGTGGGTGGCAGGTACGGTTCGCTGTAGTGATGGCTTTGTGCCCACTAGTGTGATTGGAAACCACCACTCAAGGTGATAACCTTCCTCTTTTGGCACAAAGACTGACTATGGCCTTAGTGCTAAGCATGGTCGGAAGGCTGGAGGGTGGGAACCCTATAATGGGGGCACCTTGGGGGCCTTAGCCTTGGTGAGAACAGTTAGAACCTACCTTCGCCAATACACTTTTCTGCAGGAAAACCCTACCTCGTGATTAAAACAACTTCTCGCATGTTCGCGGATGATCGAATTGTGTGCGCATTTGTTTGTTGCATAGCATAATCAAACAACAGAAAAATCACAAAAAACATTTTTTTTTTGCAATAAACACCCTTATCTCGGACAGTCTGCCTTTTAGCTAGCCTGGTTTCAGGTTCTTTGTAAGCTAAGTAGCCACGCAGTCCAACAGAAGAGATAAGGGACGCTAAATATTATTCTTTCGCATAAAGCCATTTTTTATCTCGGATAGTCTGTCTTTTAG